TAAGGGACAAGTACCTGCTCACACAGCTATAGCAGAGGTGGTCTTCAAACCCAGGTCTCTCCTAGCCTAAGGCTGGAAAGTCCTACAGAGATTCCAGAAAGGAGAAAGATTCTTATTGGGGCTAGAATGAGTAGTCCAGGAAGTCTTCACAGAGGAGGCAAGATTTGTGCCAGGCCTTGACAAAGCTAGGCAGAGACAAATAATTTAGCAGCTCTGCTCCCACTAGAAGATGGGGCCCAGGAATCCAGTTGTACAAACAGGGAAGTGGTTTCCCTTTGGTGCTCTCCTCTTGGCGTGGGGTGGTGGGAAGTGAGTGGTAAGGACAACCATCCCAGTGCCCTGAAGAAGGGAGACCATAACTGTTTAAGGGAAGCCTGTGCTCTTGTTTATCTCAGGGGGATCTGATCATTCCTGGACAATGGGACCTTTGGGTTTTGGCCTTTCTCCACCTCCTCTTCTCATCCCTCCATAATAAGGGTGGGCCCAGAGGTCAGTGTGAAGTATTTAAAGCATCCCCTTCTCCCCTCCTCCCATTCCAAACTTTGATCCCCTGGGGTACCAGGATCAGTGGGAAGCCCCTTGGGTTCAGAAATAAGGATCTGATCTCAAGAGTGGTGAATGCCATTTACCCTGAGCCATATAAAAGCACAGACTGGTAAGACCAGACAAACAGTTCAAGTTTCTGCCTGTTCCTCTCTCCTCAGCAACCCCTGCCCTCCCTCCCCAGGAAGCAGAGAACAAATCTGTAGTGAAACCTGGACAGAGGTCAATGATGTCCCAAGTTAAGTCATCTCAAAGAAGCAGAGAAGTAGAAAGAGTGCTGGATTTGTAGTTAAAGGACCTGAGTTCAAAACCTACCTCTGTCACTTACTTGTGCGAGCTTGGGCCAGTCATTTAACCTCTCTGGGCCTCAGTTTCCTCATCTGTAAAGTGAGGGGTTAGACTAGATGACTTTCAAAGACCTTTCTAGCTCTCAATTTCTGTTCCTCTAGAATAAGATGGGCTGGTCATGTGATGAAAGTGATTGGCCCCAGAGCCCAAAACTGGGAGCAATGGGTAGAATGGGAAAAATGGATATTGAACTTTATCTTTAAAAAAGTTTCCTAACAATGAAAGCTGTTCCAAAGTGGAGTGGGCAGTGGGAAGGAGCGGGTTCCCTCTCATCAGAGGCCTTCAAGCAAAGACTGGATGACTGCTTTGGGGGGGGGGTGATGTAGTAGCAAGTTCCTTTTCAGGTATTGGTTGGACAAGAGCACTAGCACTGAAGTCAGAGGACCAGGGTTCAAATCCCCCACCAGATACTTAGTACCTGGGATTTAAGAAGCAGTATATGATGAAAGAGAAGGAAAACTGATAAATATCCCATATGCTCCACTGATTCCTCAAAATGTCAAGAAAAAAACAAAGAAAGCTCCCAGCATGGTCACCTCTAGGGGTGAATTGATGGAAGGACATGAGTTTGAGGCACACAGTAGGGATGGGGTTATCACCTGTACCATTGTGGAACTATGGAATCCATAAGAACCCAGACCCACTGGACCACGTTATACTACCTTGGAATGGCAGGCACGGGGTAGAAGTAAGTAGGAGCTGAGATGGAGGGGAAAGGGACTTGGAAGAAAGGAAGGAGGGGCTGGGAAACTCAGTACAGTTTGGTATTCTAAGAAATATGTGCCAAGTGTATGCAAAATAGCATCTGTTGGAGTTGGTGGGGGAGGCTTTGAAAGTCAATAACTCAAGCGTTTTTTTGTCACAGAACAAGAAGAACCCAGCTCACATGGATGGCCACCAGACAAAGCAGCTGGGCTTTCAATCACAGCTCCCTATAGACAGACGTGTTCCCAGGGTTCATTTTCCCCTTAAAACTTCCAGAGCCAAGATGTGGGATCTCTTGGGTTCTACTTCCCTTCATTCAGTCTGGGAGCATGGTACAGCCTCTCTAGGTCAGCCCCGTGGTCTGTGGTCCATCTAGCCCTGAAGACAAAGAATCATAGATTTACAGCTAGAAGGAGGACCTAAGAGGGCTTTGAGTCCAAGCCCCCCATTTTCCAAAGGAGGAAACAAGGCAGGGAAGTGAACTAGTAAGGGTTGGAGGCAGGATTTGAACTGACATCTTCCTGACTTCGAGTCCACTACTCTCTCCACTATGTCAGGAGTCCTCAGTTGAGTCTCTGACGAGAAGCTTATTGTCCTCTTTGATAGGCACCTCCCAAGGTTAGGAATAATCACCAGTTCAGAGCTGAAAAAGACCTTAGAAGTCACCAAGTCCACCGCATCCTTCAGATGAGGAAACTGAGGCTCTGAGAGGGTTATAATTTGTCCAAGGTCACACAGAAAGTAAGTAGCAAAAGCAGGATTTGAAACAAAGACGCATGGTTTCAAATATTTCAGTATTTCAGGGTTCTAAATCACCCCTGTTTTCCCTAATCAGTTATCACGGATCAATCACCCATGAATTTATCTAAACCCTTCTTGTGAATTATCCACAAAATTTCTTCTTTTTAATCTATAGCACCTCTTCTGTGACAGACAGTAGTGCATAGATACCTGGCCTCTGAGTTTAAAAGACCTGGGTTCAAATTCTGCCTCTAACTCATACCAGCTGTGTGACCCTGGACAAGTCACTTAACCTTCTAGTGCCCATGGGAACTCTAAAGACTGTAAGGTGCAGAATAGATGCTGCTCTGCATTGGTAGAGGGAGTCTCCTCACCTGGAGTTCTCTACACTGACAAAATCATACTCCTTGCCCCACCCCATCCCCCAAAGTAGCTCTTCAGGGAAAAAGTCATCTACCCACTGCACAAAGCCTATTTACTTTTTGGTCATGGCCAGCCCCACAAAACATTTGTTGTTGTCATTCAGTCGTTTCAGTCATGTCTGACTCTTCATGACCCCATTTGGGGTTTTCTTGGTAGAGAAACTGGAGCAGTTTGCCATTTCCTTCTCTAGCTCATTTGACAGATGAGGAAACTGAGGCAAACAGGGTGAAGTGACTTGCCCAGGGGCACACAGCTAGTACGAGTCTGAGGGTGGGTTTGAACTCAGGGAGGTGAGTCTTCCTGGCTACAGGCCTGACACTCTATCCACTGGGCCACATAGCTGCCCCCTACCGAAGTATAGCAAGCCTTTAAGGAAGGAAGGAAATAAGTATTTAAGTACCTACTATGTGCTAGGCACTACATGTAGTGCTTTACAAATATCTCATTTGATCCTCACAACAACTCTGGGAATTAGCTGCTATTATTATACCCATTTTACAGATGTGGAAACTGGGACAGAGGTTAAGTGATTTGCTCAGGGTCACACAGCTGGTAAGTGCTTGAGGCTGGATTTGAACTCAGGGCTTCCTGATTCCAGGTCTAGGGATCTGTCTTCTAGAACACAAAAAGGAGATAATGAGACTTGCACTTTCCCTACCTCATAGGTTTCTTGTGAAGAAAGTGCCCTCAGAACCTTGAAACCTGATAGAAATGCAGGGCAGGGGTATCATTACTGTGACTAGAGATCTGTAAGCAAAGGCTGAATGAGCACTGTTGGGGTTGGTTGTAGAGGAAATTAATTCTTGTTCAAGGTAGAGACTGGACTAGGCAGCCTGTGAGGGCCCTTCCAGGTGTCTGTGCTCCTACGGGTACCCAGGCAAGAGAGTCCAGTGTTTGAACGTCTCTAGAGTGTGTTGAACTGACTTGAATTTGGATGCACTGAGCTACTGTCTCTCCTCCACCTTGCCTGGACCACATCATCTGGAAACCAGGAAACCAGGAAACACATTTTAGGAAGACCCTTGATGAGCTGAGGAACAACCAGCATGGGGAAGGGTCTGTAGTTCATATCATCTAAGGAGGGTTTGAAGGAACTAGGGAAGCTTAATCTGGAAAACAGAGGACTGAATGAGATGTGACAACTGTCCTCAGCTATTTGAAGGTCTGTCCTGTCAAGGAAGGACTAGATTTATTATGCTTGGCCCCTGGGGGCTGAATCAGGAACAATTAAGGGATACTGGACAAGGTGGAGGGGAGAAGTTGGCAGAGAGACGAAATTTGGCTGTATGAAAGGAAATTACCCTAACAGTCATCATTACCCAAAAGTAGATGGTGGACCTTCCTCCATTAGACTGTAAGCGAGCTGAGGGTCGAGACTATTTTCGCTTTTCTTTGCATCCTTAGTGCTTAGGATAGTGCCTGGCACTATTTATTAAGTAGGCACTTAATAAATGCTTATTGTCTTAACTTGACTTCTCACCAGAGTTCTCCAATCAGAGACTTTCTCCAGTTCTGGAAGCATGAACCATGAATAACTCAACCCTGACATGTTTTGATTGGTTTTCTCTCTTTTGGCTCCCTTGTGGACCAAAGTGCTCCTCTCTAACCATCTGTCTCTCCCTTTAGAATGAAAGCTCCTTGAGGGCGGGGACTGTCTGATTTCATATTTGTATCCTCAGTGTTTAGCATGATGGTGAGGTGGATAATAAAGCACCAAGCCTAGAGTCAGGAAGATCTGAATTCAAATCCAGCCTCAGACACTTACTAGCTGTGTGACCCTGGGCATGTCACTTAACCCTGTTGGCCTCAGTTTCCTCATTTTTAAAATGAGCTGGAGAAGGAAATGGCAAACCACTCTAGTATCTTTGCCAAGAAAACCCCAAATGGGGTCACAAAGAGTCAGACACAACTGAAAATGGCTGAACAACACAAATGCCCAATAAATGCTTATTTATTCATTTATTCATTCACTTATCCATTCATTTATTCATGCTGTGGAGGAGATTTCTGTTCAAGGTCAAGTTGTGTTGTATGGTCTCTGACGTTCCTCCCAGCTCTGAGATTCTATGACTCTGCCTGGTATACAGTAGGCACTTAATAAATGCTAGTTGACTGAGTGCTTCCATTTGACTTTAAACTGTTGTCCTAGGACCAATATAAATGGTTAAAAACAACAACTAGATAGAACAGAAGACATAATCTGGTACATTTCTCTTCTTGGTTTTTTCTTTCAAAACCAGCAAAGAAAACTTTAACAATATCCCTGACCTGGAGCTCAACCCGATCAGATCCAAAATCATCCGTGCCTTCTTTGACAACAGGTAAGAGCTCTTGGCTGGTTTATAAGGCTAATGGATTTTAATTCTTGTTGTCATCACTACCTTGCAATTATACAACCTTTCCCTTTTTTGTTTTCAAAGCATGTCCCAGCCCCACTAGATTCATCTTCCCCAAGTGAACAAGGGATAGCGTAAGAGGTGTTATTATTCCCACTTCATTTCTGAGGTTATCTCAGCAGGTACTTTGGGGATCCAATGTTATTCTATCTATCGAGATTTGCCCAGTATCATGATCATAGCTGATGATTACATAGCACTTCATATTGCTTGACTTGTTTCTTCCGAGGCTGAAAGATAACACAGGAGGGAACATAGAGGGCTGGGAGTCAGGAAGAGCTGAGTTCGAATCCTGCCTCAGGATTAACTGGCAACCAAGTAGTTGTATGACCTGAGCAAGTTAGCCACTCTTAGCCTCAGTTTCTTCATGTGTAAAATTGGGATGATAATAATAGCACCTACCTCCCAGGGTTACTGTGAGGACAAAATGAGCTAATGAATGTCAAGGTTCTGCAAACTTTAATACCTTATGCAGCATGTCCTCAAACTCTTAATGTAGTTTTAAGCTTTAATAGCTTTTAAGTCAAGATTTTTGGGACACTGTTTGAATGCTAGCTGTCATCTTATTTGGGCAGCTAGGTGGCACAGTGCATAGAGTGCCTCTGCCTGGAGTCAGAAAGACTTGAGTTCAAGTCCAGCCTGAGATACTTAATAGCTATGTGACCCTGGGCTAGTCACTTCATCCTGTTTGCCTCAGTTTCCTCATCTGTCAAATGAGCTGGAGAAGGAAATGGCAAAGCACTCCAGGATCTTTGTGAAGAAAACCCCAAATGGAGTCACAAAGAGTTGGACATGACTGGACAACAATAACAATCTCATTTGAGCCCTATAACAACCCTGTGAAGTAGGTACTACAAGTATTACCTTCCTTCTACAGGTGAGGAAACTGAGTCTCAGAGAGGTTGTGTCAGGTAAATTGTAGGAGAAGTTCTTTTTCAGGCATGAGTTGGACTAGGTCGGGGGACCTGGAACCCCCCAATCCATGAATAAATTTCAGGGCCTCCATGAACTTGGGGGAGATTTCTTTAAAATGGAGAAAAAGCTAGGAAGGAAAAAGGAGGACTGTGTTCCCATAGCGCCAAAGACCTGGGAAGGGCGTGTTTAATAGCGATAAGACTGGTGCTGAATAACCTGCTGGGTGGGGAGGAGGTCCTGGCAGAGTTAACCACTTTTAGGTCACGCCTAAGCCCAGCGGGTTTTTCACTTTAAGTGGGTCATGAGCCCCTCTGGCAGTCAGGGACCTTTTCTCAGAAAAATGTTCTCAACTGCATAAAATAAAATATTTACTGTTGCAGGGTACAAAGGAACCCAATTACTGCAAAATCAGTTACAGACTTCAGGCTAAGAACCCCTGTGGGGGTAAGGGGGAGAGACAAAAACAGATACAGACAGAGACAGAGAGAAAGTGGAGACAGGAAGGGGGAGAGAGAGACAGACAGACAGAGATACAGAGAGAGACATTGAGCGAGGGAGAGAGAGAAAGAGAGAGAGACAGAAAGAGAGAGGGGGGAGAAGGAGGAGGAGGAGGAGGAGAGGGAGAGACAGAAATGGGAAAGGGAAAAGAAGAGGGGGGGAGAGAGAGACAGAGATACAGAGAGATAGAGACAGAGAGAAAGGGTAAAGGGAAAGGGAGGGAGGGAAGAGACTGACAGAGATAGAGAGACAGAGAGAGAGAGACTTTGATGCAGAGAGAAGACAGAGACAAGGGGGAGAAGGAGAGAGAGAGGAGGAGGAGGAAGAGGAGAGAGAGAGAGAGAAAGATGCAGAGAGATGGAAACAGAGAGACATTGATGCAGAGAGAAAGACAGAGACAAGTGGGATAGAGGGAGACAGAGATACAGAGAGATGGAGACAGACATTGAGGCAGAGAGTGAGAAAGACAGAGACAGATACACAGAGACAAGGACGAAGAGAGGGGAAGACAGAGACAGAAAGACAAAGAGAATCCTCTCTGCATAATAATAACAGCTCACATGTATCTACAGATTTAGATAAACAGGGAGCTTTTACATAGATTGTCCTATTTGATCCATAAGCACTATTATTATCCCTATTTAACAGATGAGGGAACTGAGGCCCAAGCAATCATAGAAGTAACTGGGTTTTATACAGCACTTAAAGGTTGCAAAGCGTTGTACGTTTCCTTTGATGCTCACAACAACCCTGTGAGGCAGGCACTGTTATTATTCCCGTTTTATAGATGAGGAAACTGAGGCTAAGGAAAGGAAAGTGACCTGCCCAGGGTCACACAAATTAAGTGATTTGTCCAAGGCAGCAGAGTTGAGTTTCAATTATAGTTCATAGGATTATAAATTTAGGGCTGGGAAGGACCTTAGAAGCCACTTAATCACAGGATAATTAGAATCATAGATCCAATGTCCTTCAAAGCTATTGAGTCCAGGAAAATGAGACCCAGGTCACTCACATAACTCATAAGGCAAGATTTTCTTGACTCCCTATCCACCAAACCATACTACCTTTCAAACCCCAGATAGTAAGCATCTGATGTGGGATTTGAACCCCGGTCCTTTGGCTTCAGTACTAGTGTTCTTGTCCAATTCATATCTGGAAAGGAATTTCCAACTACAGCAACTCCCCACAAGTAGACAGTCGGTCTTTGCTTGAAGACTCTTAGTGAGAAAGAACCCACTGAGGCTGCCCACCCCACTGTGGGATGACTCTCATTGTTAGGAAACTTTTTCTGCCGTCAAATCCAAGTTAGCCAAGTTACAAAGATGTAACTTCCCCCATGACTCCGATTTCTGGTCTTTGGGGCCTATCAGAAGACTGAGGGCTCCTCATCTGGGTCTCTGTTTCTGGAGTTTGCCTGGGGCTTTGCATGACAGACCGCATCACCCTTGATGTCCCAGGCTCTAGTTGTGGCTCATTCTGGGCTCTGCCTTTCCCACCCCCTCATTTTCCCTGCCCCTGCCCCTTTTAGACACTTCATACTCTACTAGGAAAGGGCAAGGCAGCTGGATGGTCTAGTTGGTGCCTTGTTAGCTGCTCTGGCTTTAATTGGGAGAAGTCTAGAGGGAAGTATTTATTACTGAATTTTTCCAGGCTCCCCTCTCAGTCTCTTGTTAACATAAGAAAATCGTAGCTGATCTTAAGCTGGGCTATTTAAAGAGCCCCAGACTAGAAATCAGGAAACCTGGATCTGACACTGATTAGCTTCATAAACATGGCAGGCCACTTCTCTGGACTCAGTTTCCTCATCTGTAAAATGAGGTTGGACATCACCATCATTGTCGTCACCATCACCACCATCGCTTTACATGTTTTCTCATTTGAACCTCACAAAACAAGAGGGTTTGAACTGGATGGGCTCCCAGGTCCCTTCCCAGAGGTAGAGCTGTGATTCTGCCTTTTGAAGGGGGTGCTATTATCCCCATTTTATACATGAGGAGACTGAGGCTGAGAGAGGTTAAAATCTAGGCGTCTGACTATCGGGTGCCTGCTATACTTCAGGTATGATGTCATTGCATGAGTGACCTTGAGCCAGTACCTTCACCTCAATGGGCCTCAGTTTCCTTCTCTGTAAAATGAGGGAGGTGGACCAGATGACCTTGAACATCCCATCCAGCTCCAGATCCGTAATCATATGGTACCTCTTCTGGGGCTTCATTACCATATTGGGAGAGGGACTGGGGCTATGGAGTCCTGGGCATAGCATTTGATGTTGAACCCCATGGACATGCCAAGAGTAAGGTGGGTGGGAGACCTGGGGAACAGTAAGGACTTAGAGGGTACCCATTGTGAAAATTTGGGGGTTGATTTCATACAGCAGACAATACTAGATTTAGAAGGTGGAGGTGGGGGAGATCAGAACCTTTCAGTGGCCAGCTCTCTCCTCTAGCATGAAATAGATTCAACCTCCATATTGCTTCTTATTTCAGTTTGTTTATTTCCACATCACAAACACTCACCCTTGTTGAAAGCCCTGCACAGTCTGGCTGCCACCTACCTTTCCCCAGTAGGTGCGTAATCAAGGTTTGTTGAATGGAAATGAGGGCCGCGAGGTGGTTTCACATGAGGGGAGAGGAGCAAATGGAAAATAACAAATCAGGAGATTGGGAGGAATGGGAGAGCAAGAGACTCAAATACTTAATTAGTGCCAGAAACCAGGAGACCAGCTGCGGCTGCTTGGATAATATGCCACTTTTGCAACCTGCCTCATGGGGTTATTATGAGCATCAGGTTATTCATGCTGTCTCTCTCCTCCAGTTACCTCGAATGTTCTCAACTGGGCACCATCTTGTGTCCCCTGATAAAATACTCTTTCCTTAAAGGCAGGACGCTTGTTGTTTCTGCCTTGGCACACTCTGCACTCATCATGGCACGTTGTATATCATAAGCACTTAATTTCAGTAGCTTTTCAGCCATAACTGACTCATGGAGGATTCGAGTATGGAGGTAGCTTTGAACTCAGAGAGACTTCAGGCTTGGCACGTTATCCAGTGTACCACCTAACACGTAATGAGTATTTGTTAAGTTGAATTGGCATTTTGTAAACCTTAATATTGAAATGTCAGCTATTATAGAGTTTGAGGGAGAGGTCAGACAGGTGGGAGAACAACCAAGATATTGATCAGTCAATAAGCATTTAAATATTAAGGTCTGACATGCCACCCAGTGCAAGGAAGGGGAGAGTATCCTTGGAGTTTTTCCCTGGTAGTCCTTGGGTGTTCCATTGATAAAGCCTCTCTACGTTACTTTCTTAGCTCTGATAGTAGCTTCTCTTGTGTGTCATCATTAGATTAATTCCTTGAAACGTCACTGATAATGGGGCAGCTAGGTGGTGCCATAGTGTACAGAATGCTGGACCTAGAGTCATGAGTTCAAATCCAGCTTCAGACGCTTACTAGCCGGGTGACCCTGGGCAAGTCATTTCACCCTGTTTGCCTCAGTTTCATCATCTGTAAAATGAGCTGGAGAAGGAAATGGTAAACCTCTCCAGTATCTTTGCCAAGACAACTCCAAATGGGGTCGTGAAGAGACCTATCTATGACTGAGATGACATAACAACCACTGGTAATAATAATGCACACTTACATAGTACTTTAAGGTTTGAAAAAAATCACAGAACGGGAAGAAAGAATCTATACTGGTGACACCAGGGGCTGTAATTAGATTCTAGTATAAAGAAAGCATGGCATGGTGGGGAGAGTGCTGGGCTTGGAGCCAAGAAAAGTGGGTTCAGTTCCCTTCCTAGCCTTGGAAACTGGATGGTTCGCTTCACCTGGATGTGCCTCCGGCAACTGCCTAAGATTTAGGAAAGGAGGAAATAAGCGTTTATTAAGCACCTACTATGTGTCAAGCCCTGCACTTAGAGATTTTACAAATATCTCATTTGATGCTGTTTTTTCACATTTCATAAGTTGTGATTGCCTGTTGATGATCACAACAAACCTATTATTGTCTCCACTATATTATGTACTAGTGGTAGTAGTAGTAGTAGTCATAGTAGATTATACTCCATACTATTATTATGTCCATTTTATAGTTGAGGAAACTGAGGCAGGCAGAGATTAAGTGACTTGCCCAGAGTCACAAGCTAGTAAATGCCTGAGGCCAGGTTTTAATGCTACTAATCTTAAAGTCCATGCCTTTCTTAGATGGACACCCAAACTAGGGTTTGGGAGACAGTCTGGTGCATGTAGGGACAGTAGGTTTAGAAGCCAGCAGCCCACTCTAGAGGCAATCAGAGACACACAAGGATGGAAGGTTTCTATTTCTGTAGATCAAGTGGTTGCCCAGGGAGAGAAGATTACGGAAAGACAACACCCTGGGTTTGTTTGACCAAGAGCCAGCCCAGTGGGATTCAGATAGCATTATGTAAATATTTGAAGTATGGTAGCACCCAAAGAGGGAGAGAAGACTTATCCAGGGGGGATAAGAGAGAACCCCAAATATGGAAACTATTAAAGCAGCTGCTGTTTGCCCTACTTCCAACTGGGCAACATGGCGCGCTCTCTCTCTCTGTCTGTCTCTCTGTCTCTCTGTCTTTGTCTGTCTCTGTCTCTATGTCTCTGTCTCTCTGTCTCTGTCTCTCTCTGTCTCTCTGTATGTCTCTCTCTCTCTGTCTGTATGTCTGTCGTCTGTCTCTGTCTCTGTCTGTCTGTCTCTCTCTTTCTTCTCTCTCCACATCACACCCTTACTTGTAAGTGCTCTGCCCAAAAGGAATATAAAGCAACATTCTAAGGAGCTTCTGACCCCCTGGCCCCTGGGCAGAACTGTCCATGCCAAGAGAATTCGAGTTACATTTCTTATTTTTGACCAGCACATAGAGAGTGCCACTCATTGGCTTTTACTAGTTGTTGACAAAACCTTGGAAGGCCCATTTTTCAAAGTGTGGGCAAGGATTTCTAGGAAGGTGGTGGTCAGGGGACAGTTCCAAACAGCTGATTGTCAGCTGCAACTGTTTCTGGATGGGAGAGCAGGTCCTTTTCTCCTGTGTGTCTCCCTCCAGAGTTTAATTTCTGCATGGGAGGAAGAAAGGGAGGGAGTCCTGAACAGCTGTTTGGCATTGATGTTCATTTAGGGTGTTTGAGGGGCAGCACAATATGGCAGAAAGTATGTGGAATTCAGAGTCAGGGGACCAAAGCTCAAAACTGATCATCACTTTGTGACCTTAGGCAAATTATTTCACCATTTGTTGTTGAGCTGTTTTTCAGTCATGTCTGACTCTTTCCGACTCCATTTGGGGTTTTCTTGGCAAAGATACTGGAGTGAGTTGCCATTTCCTTATGCATCTCATTTTACAGATGAGGAAACTGAGGCAAATAGGGGTAAGTGACTTACCCAGGGTCACACAGTTACTAAGTGTCTAAGTCCAGATTTGAACTCAGGTCTTCCTGAGTTCAGTGCTCTATCCACTGTGCTCTCTCCCTAAATTCCTCATCCCTTCCACGTTCCAGAAAGAGCCACACAGACAGGATTACAATCTACCTTAACTTCCTTCAGCACCTTGTCTAGCTTTGGACCCACCTTCCAGTTCTGTCTTGTGTCCAACCTCAGTACTGCACCTTAAGCCTCCTCAGGAGTGTCTGGGAGCCAATGCATATACTGGGGAAATACAGGGGGCTATTTTTACATGGTGTATATTTAGTCTACATCTCAGCTGTAAGAACAGTGAGATTATTTTAAATAACATGTCAGGAGTGGGAGAAGCTTTATAATGCAGATGATTTAAGACATGGGACAACATTTGGGAGAAGTGCTGAAGGGAAGGTGCTTCCTGCAACATGCAGGGGAGACATCTCTTTCTCTCTCCTTCCTGGGAATTTACTCTTCGTTGGAGTCACCGTCTTGTTCCCAGCTCTGAGTCTTAGCTCTCCTTAGGGAAAGTCCCCTTGGAATGAGGAGATTTAGGGCTGGGAGGCACTTCAGAAGTCATCAAGCCCCACTCCCTTATTTTACAAGTAAGGAAACTGAGGCCCCAAGAAGCGACCTGCCCAAGAACAATTCAACTCTTATTACCTGGGTGACCTGGGACAAGTCATTTAACTTTGCATCATTTTTGACTTGAGAAACTTCTCTGGGCCTCAGTCTACTCAGCTGTCAAATGGGGATAATACTATGTCTAGTACCTACCTTGAAGGACTGTTGGGGTGATCAGATGAATACCTTATGAACTTTGATGTTCCAGATAAATGCCATCTATTTTTATGAGTTAGAAAACTGAACAGGCCAATCCTACAAGGATTAAAGATGGTGGACCACCGAGGGAGTGATATTGAAAGATTACCCCTTGCCAACTAGGAGCAACTACCTTCCCTTCCCATGATTAACAGTCTATTCAGTGTTGAGGTTATACCTCTCAAGCAGTGAAATAAACAGAACCAGGAGTCTTAACGCTCACCTCATGTGAATTGCTTCTTGTCCCAGGCAAGTGGGTAAGTGGCTTTTATCAAGGTTGATTTAACCCACTTTGAAAGTCAGCGTAGTGCATAGAGTGCTGGATCCAGAGTCACGAAGACTTATTTTCATTAATTCAAATCTGGCCTCGGACTCTTAGTAGCTGTGTGACCCTGGGCAAGTCACTTAACCCTGATTGCTTCAGTTTCCTCATCTGTCAAATGAGCTGGAGAAGGAAATGGCAAAGCACTCCAGTATTTTTGCTAAAAAAAAAACCCCAAAGAGGGTCACAAAGAGTCAGACACGACTGAAACGACTAAACAGGAACAACAAAGCCAGCTTAGAGGTTAGAAAATGCCACTCCAAGAGTTTCTTTAAAAGCCCTTGTCGCTACATCATAATCTAACAAAGAATGAGGTAAAAAATCAAGAAATCTGAGTCTTTGGCCTAGCACCACCACAAAAGAGCTGTGTGGTCCTGGGTAAATGATGTGACTATCCTTTGCCTCAGTTGCCCTATTGGTAAAATCCAAATGTCATTAGAATGCAGTGAGAAAGATTCATTTAATTAATAAATTAATTAAATAAATTTAATTAATTAGTTAAATATTAAATGAAGAAAAATTATTAGGAAAGGTAGCTTGCAGATGTTTTTCCTTGAACAGAGGTGGTCCAAATTTGTTTTTCCTCTCTCCCTAATTTCTTCTGGAGGAACCTCCGCAAAGCACCCAGTGGCTTGGCTGATGAGATTAACTTTGAGGATTTCCTGACCATAATGTCTTACTTCAGACCCATTGAGACCAACGTGGGTGAGGAGCAGCTGGAGCACTGCAGGAAGGAAAAGCTAAGATGTAAGTCTGATGGCAAGGTTGCCCACCTGTCCAATTGCCGAAGGGAAGCCCCAGACAGCTGGAGACTAGACAGTGTGCTCTCCCAACTTGGCCCTGGTGCTTCCCAAACCTTCATTCTACAACCAGTGATCAGAGCCAGAATTCGAACCCATGTCTAGTGTGCTTTCTACTGCACTGTATTATCAAGGGTCCTTGTATAGGGTGTCCCAAAAGTCTTAGTGCAGTTTCAGACTATTAAAGCTTAAAATGCCACAAAGACTTTTGGAACACCTTCTGTATGGAACAAAAGGGGAAAGCATTTTAATGAAGCACCTGCTGTGGGATATTATTATGGGACGACGCGAAGTTCTGGGTATACAAATAGAAAAAAAAAGGTAGTCCTTTATTTTAAGAAGCTTACATTCTAATGAGTGGAAACAACACCTAGGGGAGGGACCGGGTGCGAGGCAGATGGAAAGTCCTTAGGGAGCAGCAGCATTTACAGTCTAGTAACAAGACCCAGTTCTTGTTTGCCTACGGTGATGAGGTCACAATAGCAAGAAGATCCCATGAGGTAAATATAACACTCAAGTGAGTTATTGTTATTAATAAAGAAAGGTACTAATAAATGGGGCAGCTAGGTGGTGCAGTGGATAGAGCACTGGCCCTGGATTCAGGAGGACCTGAGTTCAAATCCGGCCTTAGACACATAACACTAGCTGTGTGACCCTGGGCAAGTCACTTAACCCCTTTGCCTAGCCCCCCTCCCAAAAAAAAGAGAGAGAGAGGTACAGAGGTACATGGCATCGTGGATTGAGATTCATAATTGGAGTCAAAAAGACCAGAGTTCAAATCTTGCTTTCAATACATATCAACCATGTGACTATGGACACTGAACCACTAACAACACCTCTTTTGAGTCCAGACATCCAACTAGTTATGAATCCCTCTGATTACATTAATGTTTAATCCATATCTATCTTCTCCATGGAAAGAATATGATATACTTTATCAAAAGCTTCATTAAAATCTGGGTAAAGTAGGTCACAACATTCTCCTCATCTTCTAGTCTAATAAACCTGTCGAAAATAGAAATGACATTGGCAAGAGGCATAACCTGTGCTTGATGAAACCAGGTTGGCTCACTGTAATCACTATTTTCTTTTCTAGCTGTTTGCCAACCATCCCTTTAATGATATGTTCTAGGATTTTCCCAGGAATAGAAGTCAAGTACACTGGCCTATAGTGCGGCAGGCTCTGTTCTCTTTCCTTTTCTGAAAATTAGGACATTCACTCTTCTTCAATCTTGTATTACCTTTCCCATCTTCCATGATCTTTCAGGTATCACTGATTGTGGCTCCTCAAGGGCAAGTCAAAAAGAGACTTTCTTATTTATCTAAAGTATCCAGTTAGTGTTAGATATTTTTGTTCTGTCATTCCAACATAAAGGTCATTCTTCTTGGGAGAGAAAACAGAAGCAAAACAGCTTCTTGAGAAGCTCTACCGCCTCTTCTGTCCATTATGATTATCCCATCCACCCCAAGGAAAGGTCTTGTCCCTTCCTTCATCAGTTTTCTTCTAATAGAGCTGAAAAGTCTTTTTTGTTGTCCTTAACTTCCCTCATTAGCCTGAGCTCATTTTGAGTTTTAGCACTTCCCACATTATTTTCAGAGGACCATGATACGTTCTTATATTCATCTTCTGTTACCTATCCTAGCCTCCATCTTATGTACATTTCTTTTTTTTAAATCTAAATTGGTTGAGGAGTTCCCTGCGCATCCACATTGGCGCCTTCAGACAAATTACATTTTTTCCTCCTCATTGGAATTGTTTTTCTTTGCATCTTCACAATTTGATTCATTTCTAATTTAATTTTTCAAGACTCAGTGTGCCAGTCTCATGCAGGCTAGAAATGTGGCAGCCACTTATGGGCCTGATTAAATTGCCGGTTGGCATGAGATCTTTGACCTGCTCTATTTCCAATCTGGGCCCTCCTTAGACAGTCTATTGATCCCCTGCTCTTGGGGGCTCTGCATCTTGGTGCCAGACTTAGTGAGGACGCTGGATTGGCTTGTAGGCCTACTGAGGCTCAGAACTCCCTAGCTCAGCAGATCCATCACCCTCTGAGATCTGGCTCAGTGCAATTTCTTTTCTGAGCACCTCCCATCCTTCCTGACTCCACCTCACCCCCCAGGCCAGTGCTATTTCTACTATTCCACGTTGCCTTTCTACATATAAATAGATAACAGACCTCTTATTTACATTATCTCAATTTACATTTTTCTGAACTATACAGAAACCATTAAATTTATTATGTTACTGCTTTAGTCAGTCAATAAACATTTATTAACACAGGCACTGTGCTAAGCTCTGGGGATCCAAAAAGAGGCAAAATACAGGCCCTGCCTTCAAGGAGCTTACCATCTAATGGGGGAGATAACAACAAACATAAATGTGCCAACAAGTTATATACAGGATAAACAGGAAATAATTTATTTTTTTTATTTTTTTAAATTATTTTGATTTATCAACAATCACTTCCATATGCTTTTGAGTTTAAAATTTTTCTCCACCTTCCTCCCCACCACCCTCCCCAAGATGGTGCACAATCTGATATAGGCTATACATATACATTCCTATTAAACATATTTTCACATTAGTGATGTAAACAGGAAATAATTTAGAGAGAGAAGACGCTAATATTAGGAGGGGGTGGGAAAGGCTTCCTGTAGAAGATGGGGTCGTAGTTGAGACTTATAGGAAGCCAAGGGGGTCAATAGTCAAAACAGTGGAGAGAGAACATTGCAGGCATGGGCTAGAGCCAGAGAAAATGCCTTAGTAAGAGTCACCAATATATGACTGCCCAAAAGCTATTACAGTCTCAGACTGCATGAACAGAACTACAGGCCCAGGATAAAAGGAGGGGATGGTCCCACCACGTTTTGGGCTATCAGACCACACGGGGAGCACTACATTCTGTTCTGGAGGCCACATTTTAAGAGGGATGTTGACAAACAGGGACACATCCAAAAGGGCCACCAGAGGATGGAGGAACTGAGAAGAATCATTCCTCTCGAGCTGGAAGAGATCTAGCTAGCCCAATCTTCCCATTTTACAGATGAGGAAATGAAGGCCAGGGAGAATATGACCTAAGATCACACAGGTGGTAATTGTGAGTGATGGGATTTGAACCCAAGATTTCTAAATCCAGAGTTGGTATTCTTTTCTCTAAGTCACATGGCTGTCTTTACTGTCTTCAAATATGTAAAAGCTATGAAATTAAATTATTCTGCTTGGCCCCAGAGGGCAGAATTAGGACCAAAGGATAGGAGTTACAGGGAAGCAAATTTAGTCAAATGAGGCGACCTCTTTAAGGATTAGCTGTTCAAAAATGGAAAATGTTGCTTCATGAGATAAAGGTTTCCCCATCAGTGGATATATGTAAGCAGAAGTGGGACAGCCACTTATTGGGGATATTATAGACAGGATTCATGCATCAAGTGAAGGTAGGATTAGGTCACTTTCCATTCCCAAAATTTTATGATTCCAAATGAACTAGATTAGACTGATTTTATATAGTTCTAGAAGTAGCTAGGGTGGCTCAGTGGCTAGAGCATCAGTTGTACAGTCAGAAAGACCTGAGTTCAAATCCAGTCACAGACTGATGTGTGACTCTGGGCAAGTCACTTTACCCCGTTTGCCTCAGTTTTCTCATTTGTAAAATGATCGAGGGAAGGAAATGGCAAACCACTCCAGTATCTCTACCAAGAAAAGTCAGACACTACTAGCTGTGTGACCCTGGGCAAGTCACTTAACCCCATTGTTTAGCACCCCCCCCCAAAAAAAATCAGACATGACAAAAATGAATGAACAGCAACAAATATAATTCCAGAGGACAGAATAAGTGGATATAACAGGAAGGCTGACTTTACCTGAACCTACAGAAGAATAACCTAATAATCAGAACATGCAGTGATGGAAAGGCCTGCCTTGTGGGGTGGTGACTTTCATAGCTGCAGAGGATTTAGGCAAATGTAGGCAAAGGAGTTAAGGACAATGCCAGCCAGAGTCCCCAGTGCCGTCCTCTTTGACAAATACTTGTAATGGACAGATGACAATGCAAATAATCCAGAGGTGGCCACACCATAATGTACCACAATCCATTTCTATAGTGAGTTTTAGCTTTCCGATTTGGCTTTTTGGTTTTCTTTCTTTTAGTTGGGTTGATTTTAGAAGATGAGGGAAGGCTGCTAGTTCAAGAGTCAAGCGAGAGAGATTGGGGACATAGCTCTTTTCTGACTTCTTCTGTGTGGACCTGATGCTCTGGGAGCTAGCCCAGTAAATAAAAGTATTTATATTTCCACACCCAGACAGGAAGTCTTGACGTGACTGAATTTCTCTCTCTCTCT